ATGACTTATTAGCTTACTGTACAGCTAGTTCTTGACTTACAACCATTTGTTTAGCGACTGTTCGAAGTTACAATGGTTTTGACTGTTCTTCACACTTACAATTGTTGCAGCATCCCCATGGTGATGTGATCAAAATTCAAATGCTTGGCAACTGATATGTATTTATTTAGGACAGTGTCCCAGGGTCATATGATCACCTTTTGTGACCTTCTGACACACAAAGTCAATGGGGTAGCCAGATTCACCGTACAACCATGTTACTAACTTAACTACAGCAAGAATGGTCATAAAATCGTGCAAAACTCACTTAACAACTGCCTCTCTTAGCAACAGAAAATTTTGGCCCAATTATGGTTGTAGATCAAGGACTACTTGTATTATTAGCCTTTCTTTTTGATAGCCCAATCCCATTCTCTCCCTTCTATGTACAATCCTAGTCAAGTACTTTTGTAGCAATTGCAAATAAAACAGCCTCCAATAAAGGAAAAATAGGCAATAAGCCACAAAGATTTTCCCCACTTCCTTTAAATAACCCTTTGTTACATGATATGGTCAAGAGAAGCTGTTTCCATGCTAGGACCTAACAACAGAGTCCAGATGCAATTTCACTTTTCCTTCTTGTCATACAAAATCATCCCTTTGCCACTTCCCAAAATAAAGCCCTCGTGACATCCTCTATCGAGGAAAAATAAGAAGTGTAACTGTAAAGGATTCAAGATAAATTAGCTCTAAGGCAGGAGACGGGATGCAGTGACTCTCTACTGAATTACAGTTCAGCAATACAAGGAGGAGAAGCAGGCTCTCGGCCTAGGTGATTACAGGCCCAGTTTTGGGAAATCTACAACACTCAGATAGATAAACTCTACAGCCTGAGAGTTAAAACCCAATATAATATGGAAAGTGACACAATTGGGAACACTGGTTTATAAGTTTAAACCTTAATTAAGGACTGGGTTGTAATTAAAAAATGGAGTATAGAAGAAGGGGTGGGGGGTTAACGTAATTACTGCTGGCTTGAAGGAATGGAAGAGGGGACAAATCTAAGGCATGCTACTGCAGCAGATGTATATTCATAATAAGGTAGGTCATTTATAATATAGATTCCATTCCATGTAGAATGCCATTGCAATTATGTCAGTAGAATTGCAATGATTGTACATTATTTCCCTGCCAAACCTAGAAAGTTGGTGGTTTACTATAAATCTCCACTAGTCAAGAATTAGCCTTAAATCTGAGACCTGTAATCTTTAGATAACAAAGGGCACTTGCAGCCAATTAGGATGTGATAGCAACTTGTGTCATTGATTTCTGTCATTAATGTTTCAGATTTTAATTCACTTTTGAAAACTGCTCTAAAAAGAATCACTTGAAGCTGTAATTCAAAATTTCTCCAAGTATTTCCCTTTCAGCTGACCCTTCATCTACATCCTGATATCAGTACATATTGAAATACAGGTGGTTGACATCAGAAAGAGTTTTCCATTTTCTTACTTTGAAATGTTCTTTTTCAAAAGAACGGGATTGTTTGCACTTAAATTGAATAGCAGACTTCTAACAGTCAATGTCTTCTTGTTCTTCAGTGAATACATCAAATAGTCTAATCCATAAGGATACTTTTGTGTAGTCTGACACAGGACTTTCAAGACCTGCATCAACATTGAATATGTGAGTTGTTACAGTATATCGCTGAAGAACATAGGTGAAGGTACTCTCAATATAGTCCAGAGAAAGTTAATTGAATTCAAAAGTTTGTTCATTTCTCTAGCTGCATAAAGACCAGCCACTAGGAGTAAACTTATGCTACAAGTATAATTTTATACTTGTATAAAGGTACAAGTAGGAGGTGAGGAATAAATCTTTCCAAGTGAATAATTGGCAAGATTCACTATACAAGCAATCTCAGGAAACAAAGCAGTATTTTGACCAAGACAGAACATCTTGCTGCAAAACTATGCATGCAATCCCAAAGCTTTCTAGTAAAATTATGTGAAAAACGAAGAAAAAACATTAAACACATGGAAAGCTATCATATTAACTGTTCCTACACGTCTTTAATTCTGAATTTAAAGGCATGCCTAGTATCTCTGTCTCCACTTTAATAGCAAACTGGTTGAATATCCACTAAGAGAACACTAATTACTGTCAATCTTAAATCACAAAAGGGATAAAATAATCATTGTTTTTGAAAGCAATCCACGTATTTTTTTCAAATTGTAGAGAAGGCCCCTAGGGGGAGCATGAAACACCATGAACTAAGGTACAACATTTTGCACGTGTTATTGGCAGTAGGCAAGATTCAAATTTCCAGCATATGTGGGCTATAATCTACCTTGGGAATTGCCAAAAGGAATGAATTACAGTATACTTCTCTGCTCAACTATAAGGCCAATTACTTAAGCACTGTATTATGGCTCATGTGTATCTGTAAGAGCAGGAAGGAAAACAACTAGCGATGCAAAACATAGTGTGGACAGGTGTAGAAGAAACAGCACAAAACAGTACCAGTATCTGGTAAATATACTTAAATATAAAGGTTTTTGGTTAAGTTGGTCTGAGAAGGGCAAAATAACTTTAAAAGATGATACATCTGAATAATGCTCAATACCTCATTAAGGAATTAAAAATTTGCTCCCTTCTGCTTTTATTCAGAAACACATAGGTAATATTTACAATCTACAGTTTCTAGGACATAAGCAGTATTTACACTCTATAGTTTCCAGTGTCCTGCAGCAAAACAATGAAGAATATTTTGGCACCTTAAAGACTTAACCAGTTATTATCGCATAAGCTCATCTGTTGCCTATATCCCCAGGCCCATCAAATCCCTTAGGAGTCACCTGGGAGGCATAAGGGTGAGTTACAGGGGGATTTGGGGAGAGAAACAGTCTGCTCACATTACATTAGATGTGGCCCATAGTATTAGAAGGACTTACAGTATTTACAGTCTATTAATTTTTGTTTCTAATATAAACCTGAAGTTTGCCTAACACAAAATAAAAAAATCCCACTGGAATATAATAAATATACTACAGTGCGGTCTTCTCCTGTCTGGATTCCTTCCTCTAATTCTTGTTTGTGAAGGCTGTATAGGCTGGGAATGTGAGGAGTTGCAACCCAATTGGGAGTCATTATCAAGCTGGGAAAAGCTGCTTTACTGAATGTCAGCGTACACAAAAAAAATTCCAGTCTGCAAAGTGTCCTTGGATCACTGAGATTACAGCAGTAATGTTCAGAAACATAGTTCAAGAGAAAAATTAAAAAGTGCAAAACATCCACCCACACCTATTTGTTGTGTTATCTGAAGTTCAACATCTGTTTTGTGTCAAGAGAATATTAATTTTCATTCCATTTTTGGAAAGAAAATACTATATATATTTTCAGCCCTAACCATGTAAAAATGTTACAATATTTCTTTTCTTCTCAGTTGCCAGCATCAAGGGTTGGTCAAAGCACTGACTAACAGGGAATGCTCAGCAACCTTTTCAGAAGTTAACAGAAGACTTGAGGTCATTTTGAAAATGCTGTTGTGGTGCAAGCTATATGAAGCCTATAAAATAACCAGTCCTGAAGCTCAATCAAAACTCAGAAAACACTCTTATTTAAGGAAGCATTATCTTCAACTCCGTTAAGCTTACCTTTCTTTGCCAAATGATACACTTAACTACAAATTTGCTTTAAAATGCCCATAACTGATAGAACTGGATCGTTGTTATTAATATTATTAGGTTTCAGAGTTTGATGAATTGCAGATGGACATAAAAATCTGTATCCAATTTAGTCCTTCTGTTACATTATTTTTTCCTCTCTGCAGTAACAAAGGGATTCTAGAGGAAGGGGGAAAGGGGGGGATAGGCAAATGGGAATAATAGGGCAATTAGATTCACAAAAGAAAGTGTGCCTAAATTAGCATGACAATAGGTGGACTCCTAAAGCAAAGGCTGCCCCACCTCCAAACATGTAGCTGTTATAGTACTAAAGGAATGGAAGGCTGGCTCTCCATTCATCTGCAGACCTCAGGAGTTAGTGGCTGGAACTAAAGGGGACTGAAGGGAAGGAACTAAAGCACACAATACACAAAAGAAAAAAGGCCAGAGAACAAGACTGCAAATGTCAAATACAATGTTAACCGCAGAGCCCCCCGTGCCGTCTCCACCTTCACACACAACACACACACACACACAAAGTAACCTCAGGGGGAAAAATGGCTCACAAACTTCGGCGACTGCAGTTACTGATGCAAATGGCCCACATTTTAAATCTGCAACATTTCCCAACTTTCAAATAGTTGTGGGATGTGGTTTTTTTTTTTCTTTTTTTTTTTTAAAAAAAGAAAAAAACACAATCGTCCCAATCACATTAAAATGCAAGTACGGAAAAAAGTTTTGGAAAAAAAAAAAAAAAAAAAGCAGCAACTACCCAGCGGAGTTAATCAGTTCCTCTTGTCTGTTGCAAATTGCCGATAATCTCACGGAGCTGAAACAGTTTGCTAACCGACGCTCTGAATCGCGCCTGGAAGAAATGCAGGATTCGGGCCTTCTGGCTGGCCCGCTCCGTCCTCGGGAGGAGGAGGAGGAAGCGAGCAGGCAAAACGCGCCATGTGTTCTCTAACTTCGGGTTTAAAACGTCTGAATCCGGAGAAGCCTGTCGCCCCCGACTCCCCCCCCCCCCCCCCCCCCATGTTGACATACAAAACCCGATCGGCAGCTAGCAAACGGGCTTTGCGCGAGGCAAAGAGGGACTCTTTTGCCGGAGTTTGATTAGAGTCGATAGGCCTCAAGTTTCCGTTTGCCAACATGCCCGGCCGCCTCCATCCGCACCCGCCTGAGAGGAGAGTCACGAGCGGCGGGGCGCCCATCTAGCTAAGCCGATTTGAAAGTTTGCGACCCTCCCCGGTGGGCGATCCCGAGTCCATGTTGGAAAGAGCCTCCCCCACGCCGTCTCTCTCTCTCTCCCTTCCTCCCACACCCGGTTCCCACAGCAACGGCTGCAGAGACCTTTACCTTTCTGGAGTGACACCCGAAGAAGATCTAGGCACGCCCGCCGTGGGTGAGATGCCAGACGCGCCGATCGCGAGCTTTCATGGCAGATCAGGGCCTATCTCTCCCCCGTCATCATGTCACCACGATCAAACATGTCTGTGTGAGTCCTATTTGGCTGCGGTGACTTCCTGATTCTCTGCATTGCTGAGCACAGACAGGAAAAAAAAAAATCCACCCCAACCAGCGCGAAACCTCGCCTCTTCCTCTCTCCCAGCAGCGAGAGAGGCTGGCTCCAGCCACCCTCCTACTTCTCCAGCCTGGCTCGCATGCTCAGCCACCAGTAGCGAGCGGCACCAGTCGGGCGGAATCCTCCTCCTCCTCCTCCTCCTCTTCTAGGCACTTAATCATCAACCCCCTCCCCCTAAACCCCACAACTTTTTCCCTCTTTCTCGGCCGAACCTTAACCAAATTCATGCCCGGTGGTTAAAAGACTTCCCCCGCGCCAATCACGGGGTGCGGGACGACGCCTGCTTGCCCCCCCCCCCAGCCCCAGCCCCTAAGATTGAGACTGGCACTCAGCAACTTTCGAAATCAATAAATGCTCGGTGGTTTCTCCCACCCCTCGGAGGAAATAAGGGATGGAAAAAGGGGGGAAACCTCGCGTCGCACAACAGAGGAGAGAGCCCGCTTTCGGGCGAGAGCAAAAGGACGACGCAAACACGGGCAATGCCAGACACTTTCGGGGGAGGGGGGCCCGCACAGCGACGGCGGCTACGGTGCAAAAGAAAGCAAAGGGGGCTGTGGACTTTTCAGACACTAATAAACCCCGGATATTTGGAAGAGGCCCGAACTGGGAGGAGAAAAGCGCGCCGATCTCTGGTTTCATCACTCGCGGCTTCTCAACACCCCCCTTTTCCCGAGGCTCACCGATCTCGCGTGGGCACTCTCGGCCGGCCATTCAAGGCAAGCGAGACCGTCCGGAGCTGGGCCTGCCCGGTTTTGACGGGTCTACCGCTCCCTTTCGCAAACCAATCGCATTCCCATTCCCTTCTCCTGCTCTCACGACCGCAGTGGGAAACTCTGCGGCGGAGCTGGGCGAAGAAGGCGGCCGGGATCTTCTGCAGCGAAGCGCCTCCGCCTTTTCCCTTCCCCGGGGCAGGACGCGGCGCGAACTTCCAGCACTCCCAGCCGGCTACATGCCTCGATTTTCCCCCAGCAGAGCCTTAATGCAGCTTCTGGAGCGGGGAGGGGGAGTAAAGACGGACTTTCCCCCTCCAGCCTTGCTTCTACTCCCCAAAGACAGCTCAGCGCATCCAAGAGAAGGAGGCAAAGCTAACCTACCGGCTCCATCGCACCGGACCTGCATATACCTGCTCGCAATCCGTCCCTGGCTCCTTCCCTTGGTCTTTCTCTCTTCGCCTCTTTCTCTTCCTCCCCTCCCTGTTGAGGAGCCAAATCCCGTAAGCAGCTGATTCCACGCCGGAGGCTTCTGGCTTCTCCCGCCGCCTGCCGTTGCCAGAGCCCGGGCTTGCAACGGGCAAGCCAGCCCTCCTCCCTCGCCCGACTTTCTCCCCAGGTTCAGCTGACTCACAAAGTCAGCGCCTAGCATCCTCTCTCTCTCCCCCCCCTCCCCTCCCCCAGGAAATGTTCTTCACCCAGCCGCTTTTTTCAAATGAGGTTTATTAGGATTATTAAGAAGGATCAGGAAAACTTTCTTCCGTTCGCTTTTTCGATCTGCAAAGGAGATCGAGATTTGTTTGCGGCCGGAGGAAATGAAAGGGGAGAGGGGGGGATGTCTGTTTGGATATTATATTTTTGGTGGGGGCGAACGGAGGATGCACAGGCTAAATTCTTCTCTTCCCCTCCCTTCCCTAACCCTCCCCCCCCCATACCAACAACTACATGGCAGGCAAATCAAAACGACGGATGATGATTAGGAAAGGGAGGGAGGAGTTGCAAGCGATCTTTACCTTGCTGGGGGAGAGTGGCGGGCTAGATCTCTCCCGCTCTATGAGTCACTCAGAGTACAGATCCAGCCAGCCAGGGGAACTAGATTATGAATATGACTTCACTGATGACAGCCATTCCCTCCTCTTCCTAAACTCCCGCCCCGCCTCTCGGCTCGGCTCGGCCGCTTTCTCCCATTCCGACGCTCCGTACTAGAGAAGAGGGAAGCTTGTGACTGGACGAACCGAGTCTCGGGCTCCCGTCCGGAAGAGGAAACGGAAAGGCGGATTCGCTACTGCGCGCCGTCACTCAAGCTGCAGCTTGGGGGAAGGCGGAGCTTATCGCTGCTCAAAAATGTGGAGAGAGCGAGGGAGCCTGGTCGGAGTGCGCGAGCGCGGCTGCCCTTTCCCTCCCCTCGCCATCCCCTCAGGGCAGGCGCGTGCATGCGTGTGGACGCTTCTGGGTGTTTTTTTTTTTCCCTCTCTCTCTCTCTCTCTTTCTCGGTTCAGCTGTTTGGATCCAGAGGGGAATCTTTGGAACGTGTTGGCCCCTTTCGAAAGAGAGGGAGAGGAGAGAGAGAGAAGCCCAGGAGTTGAGGGAGGGGTCGGTGGAAGAAGGTGCTGGAATTTAACCGTGCCTGCTGGTGCAAGCTTGTCGGGGGGAGGAGGGAAAAGGGGGGGGGGGGGGGGAACAAACCAAGGCGACTGGGAGAAACAAGCTGACTTCAGCCCAGTGGTGGTTTTCTAGCAGTTGTTTACCTGTGGCTTAGGGCAGGGGGAAGGTTAATAGGGAAGGTCATCGTGGAGTCCTCTATGCTCTCTTGAGCTTGGTGTTTTTGCTTGCACTTTTCTGATAAAGCCCCAAGGTGCTTTTTTTAAGACTCAACTGGACTTTCTGGTTTTTCTTTGAAGACATTTCGCCTCTCATCCAAGAAGCTTGGTAGTACAGTGGTCTAAGGCACCCTGTTATTAAGCTGGTTATTAAGACCAGCTGCCTGCAATTACTGCAGGTTCGAATCTCGCCAAGGCTCAAGGTTGACTCAGCCTTCCATCCTTTCTAAGGTAGGTAAATTGAGGACCCAGTTGTGGGGGCAATAAGCTGACTTTGTATAAATATACAAAAGGATGAAGGCTATTGCTGAGCACATTGTAAGCCGCCCTGAGTCTCCGGAGAAGGGCGGCATATAAATCAAATTAAAAAAAAAAAAAAAAAAAGCTTCCTTCAGCTCTGACTAAATGGTGGGGAATGGAAGGCACCATCCGGTCAGAGCTGAAGAAGCTTCTTGGATGAGAAGCGAAATGTCTTCAAAGTAAAACCAGAAAGTCCAGCTGCCTCTTGAAAAGCACCTGGGGACAACCGTGACCTGGATGATTGAGAATCTCCACAGACATTACCTGATAAGCTAACATCAGTGCTAGTGAGTGTGGAGGTAGGTCCCTGAATGTTCTCTGTACTTGCTCTTGGCATAAAGGAAAATACCAGGCTTGCAAATAAAATGAGGGGGCAGGAAGTTTTAGTATTCATTACAGTTATCTTCTCTTCCAAAGAGAATATAGGCAGGCGAGGGTTGAACTGTGGAATCCTTGCTGCTGAGCTTGGCTGTGTGCTTGCTTTTCATTATCACGGTAGGTAACATTGTCATTGCTAGTGAGTATGGATTTTGCTGCCTGTTTATATATACAGGTAGTCCTTGACTTGCAACCATAATTGAGTGTGAAAAAAGGTCATGTCACTTTTTCCAGTGCCGTTGTAACTTTGAATGGTCATAAAATGAACTGTTGTAAGTCGAGGACTATCTGTAGTAGCAGGCCCAGCCAGTGTTAGTGGGAGTGGTTTTCTCCTTGATAGTCTCTTGATTAGGGTATTGTTATCTGCTTGTCTGGTATTAATTATTGACACTGATGGATCTCTTGGCTGCTAGTTGTCTTTAATTTCTGCACTATACTGTGTTTTACTGGTTTTATGATTGTTTGCCATCCAGAGTTAACGATTTGACATGGGTGGTTATACAAAATGAATAAATAATAAAAGTTAATCCCTAATTATTTGGTTGTTGGAGAGGATGTATTTTGTTCTTTTTTTTTCCTTCTTAGATTTTTTTGTATTGCTTCTTTTGAATGGTTTGTAAATGTGGTTTATCCTTGTGTGTCTGTTGAGGGCTGATTTGTCTGAATTCCAGGCTTCCAGGAATTAGTGTCTCTGGATTTAACTTGGTCTAGGATGTTCAGTTTCCCCATTAAAACTATGGTTAAGTCTGTCCATCTGTTGTGAGATTAAGAAATTTTCATTGTGTCTTCTGACAGCTAGTCAGAAGTATTTATGGATGTGGTATTTATGGATGTGCTGTAGTAATCTTCTGCCTGTCCTGTCTGTTGTAGATGAGTTGTAGATGCCACACTTTGCAACACAAATTGTAGTCACACTTACCTAGATGAAGTTACCTAATCAGATAAGGAAAAATAAACAGCCTAGCTCAGCACCAATGACTCCACAGTTCAGTCCTGAGCTGCATATATTTTCTTTGATTGGAAGAGAAGATAATTGTAATGAATAATAAAACTTTTATCTGCATTTTCCCTTATGCTGAGAATGAGTGAAGTACAGACAACAATTCAGGTCAATTTGTCTGCCAGCCTTGTATGTCAAATCTTTCAACTTCAGCCAGAGAGTAACATTTTACCAAGCAGACGTTCAAAAACATACTCTCAGCAACGAAGATATAGAAGACTGTAAAGCTATCATAGAAATATAAGGCATAATCAAAATAGTTGCTAGATACTGTAGCTGTTAACAATTTCTGGGGGGGGGGCATCCAATGCTTAGGGCTAGCATAAGTAAGAAGTACAATTTTGTAAATGTCTTCCTGCGTTGCTCTCATTGTTATTCCCAATATATTTGAATGTCTCCTTGGCTTAGCAAAGCAGTTGGACAATAGGAGAGCTACATCTGACTTAGTGTTCCTAAGTAATGCAAGCCTCAAAGCAAAGATAAAAGTTAGCAAATTCTCTGAAAGTTAAACAATATTTATCAGGGAATCCTCTTCAGTTCAGGATCATTAATAGAAGGGCCCAGCAGAGATTATACTACCTGAGACTTCTCAGAAAACAACAACTGAATGAAAAATTGCTGGTGACCTCCTACAGCTTCACTATAGAGAATATCTTAACTTCCTGCACCTGTGTATGATTTGCTAATTGCACAGTGGCAGATAGGACAGCGCTCCAGAGGGTTAACATCATTGCCCAGAGGATCATTGGTTGCCCTCTCCCCTCCTTGGAAGAGCTTTATAGCTCCCACTGCCTTAAGAAAGCTCAAAACGTTCTGAAAGATCCATCTCATTCTGGGCACCCTTTTTTTGAACTATTGCCATCTGGCAGATGGTACAGGACAATAAAAACAAGGACCAATA